TTCTAATGGCCCTGGAGGGCTCAAAGCACAAATGATTTCAACTAAAGGTAGGAGCTAGCCAAGAAAACCCCAGTGTCATGGGAGGTTGCTGCTACACCAGAGGTCCTAGCAAGAGAAAGCAAAACCTCTGGTTGCTCGCCCTCTGGTCCTTCTGCTTTCAGCGGCAATAGAGACTGTCACCTGCTCAGTACAGCCATCCCACAAGCAATAAATACCCCTTTCTTCCCAGTTACACAATTCTCATTCATTCCTTGCTAAACCATTTCATAGCACTCACGTCAAATCTTTCAGCACCTGCTACCCCCATCCCTAATCCTCTCCTCTCTTTGTCCGGTCTGGCAGGGCTACCCTTCCCCAGCAGCATCCACACTGCCACGGACATGCCTCTTTCTCTTCCCTGGCTCACAATGCCAAATCCAGACAAAGAATGTGAGAAAATAATACACATTTAGCAGCTGTGAACAAGCGAGCAACTCTTTCTCCCCATGGGGAAGAGGACCAGATCCTGTGCCATCTCAGCGCATTTCTACAATAAGCAGCAAAAAAGGTTTATCCTTCCCCAGGTACAGAGCTTTTAGAGACAGGATTACTCTGAGAGGTATTACTTGCAGAGGAATTAATGATCACTGTACATAAAGGCATCCAACACTTGCCAAGCATGACTTAATAGTTGTTTAAACTTACACTAAGGATAGATCATCTGGTTGTGAAATATCTTTGCTGGGAAAATAAAAGGAAGATGTTCCCTAAAGATGGCCTGGTGGCTCCAAGGAAATTATGTCTGGGATGGGTTAGATGTTCAGTGGAAGATGTTCGGATTTCAAAGAAAATCCACTTGCTGTTGTCAAGCTGCTGAGAAAAGATCTGGTTTGTAGAAGCTCAAGAGAGAACTGGTAAGGGCTTTAAAGCATTGGTGCAAAGAAAGGAAACTTTGGACAGAATTTTCTGAATGCTTTCTGGTTGATCAAGTTAAATTCTTAATATACATTGGTATTTCTCATGAGCTGAATTGGGATATTAGGAAGGGGAAAATGATAGCTGCAGGGATGTTGCTGAGGTAATCTGTTAGCGATGGAGTCTATTCTTTTTGTCTCCTGGCAGCCTATTGACTCAAATGGCGACATTAATAATGTAGACCACTAGAGAAAAAAGCAAGCAAACATTTGCAGTGGTATGTGTACTTATAAAATCTGTGAGGGTACAATGCCTTTGCTTCTAAAGTTATAAAGAAGCAGCAGCTTTGCTAAGTCACAGAAAATCCTAGTAAATTCCTGGAAGGGACAGTTCTTGGAGACATCCCAGTTTTGCAAGGATCTCCTACAAAGAAATGTTCACAGTAGCAGAAAGACTCTGAAGCTCTGATGCCACAAAAAAAGACATCAGAGGGAGGCTCAAAACCAGTTGAAAAGTTCACAGTAACAAAAAAAAAAAAAAAAAAAAAAAGGAGGATGAGTTGAAAAAGGGAAACTGAAAAAGTAGGTGAATGTAGTCTTGGAAAAGAATTCAATGAACTACAGTGCTGCAGTAATTAGAGAAGGCTGAAGCAGAAAAACTTGGTACAGTCAGTAAATTTTAAAAATATTCAGAGAGAAGAAGTTATTAGTGAAAGAAGTAGCTTCAAGAGAATCAGTGGAAGCATTTCAGGCAAGAGTAGCAGAGTGATGAACCTACATAGTGATAAACAAAATAAATCTGAGAAAAAAATAAGGAAGCATTATGGGAAAGGAAAGCACCATATTATTTTTCAGCTAAGATGATTAAAAAAAAGGAAGTAGAGTGACATGACTAAGCAAAGTGAATGCCAGGGTGCTGATGAAGACATTCAGAGAAGAAAGGTGTCTAACTGGAAGACATCAGAAGTCGATGAAATCCACAAGTATTGGTTAAAATTCCTTACTGATCCATTTCTCAGCTCAAAATTCATCTGTGGGAAATGCTGCAAAAGGCTGGAAGGATGAAGAATGCTCATGAAAAAAAAAAAAAAAAAGGGGGGGGGGGGGGAAAGAGGTGGCATTATCCTAAAAAACTGTGACTCACTGATGATCTGAGAGCTCCTTATTGAAACAATCAGTGAAATCAGGTGACTTTGATGATGGGGAGTACCTGGCAGATGCTATAACAAAACAAGAATCTAGATGTGGTTTTGATAGATTATGCAAAAGCTTCTGAAACCATGTCTTGAAAGGGGAATCCAGAAGCATCTGGGACTGAGGAGGGAAGTGCATTAGCTACAAAACAGAGGTAGAAGAGGAGATAAGAGCATTGTGAAGGACATGGCAGGTGACTTCTTGTCACCCTTCATCTTTGTTGTAACCTTGCTTCTATTATTTGCAAAGCTGAAACACACAGAAAAATGTTATTTAGTGACAAAAGAGGAAAGCCTATCTCATATTTACTTAACACAACAATTTGAAATTACATGGTCAGGAGCAGGTAAAAATTAATTTCCCAGTTAAAACTGCAAGGCTTTTTTGAAGGAAATAAGAATTTTATTCAGACAGGGCAAGCCTGCATATATTTCACACCAAAAAAATTCTGTTGAAAGTATGACAGGAGACCAAAACAGGTACTGGGGAGAAAGAACACATAAGAGCACTAAACTTTGTAAATGTTAGGAATCCTTCAAAAAATTATGAAAAAAATGAAGGTGGCTTTAAAGAAAGTGCTTTCAGAGATATGTGCAACTCCTAAAGATATTTCAGCATGCAAAATACATTAAAGGTAACCAACATATATGCCACCCATGGCAGCAAGAAACTAGACCTGAGGGAACTGTATAGCAAGACAAAGCAGAAGTTAGCACTGAATTAAGCAACAAGCAGGAACACAGATGTGAGAAGACCTTCTTGTTGATCAGAGGATGACAGAGGAAAAGGGCTCAGAATAGTCAAGGCCATTACAGAAAATGAGCATATGGTGACAGTGAACTATATCAGGAGTGAATACTGGCTAACCAGGTCTCGGGCAGTGCTCCAGGACTGGATAGGAAAGACATTCCTTCTAAGTGTCAGCCTAGAGATAGACAAGTCAGGGTGGACTGGGAAGAAGCTACATGGCCTTTGGGTCACTTTTCTCCTTAGATATAAAGCAGTAGTTTTCCCACTGGCATTTGTATAATAAATTCCTTTGGAACTTTGTATGCTTGAAATGCTCCTGAAGAGGCATTGCTTCTGGTAGTTATTTGAACACATCTTGAGGCAAGAATTTTTTTTTATTCAGCAATGTCTACAACATTGCAAACACATACTTACCTGGCACACATATTACTCTGTTTCTCCAACTTTTGGCTCATCTGTCCTTGTGTGATCTGCCAAGGACCCAAACCTCTGTTTTTTCACCTACTGTGACCTCAGAGAAACCACCACTTGTGGTCTGAAAAACCAGATTATCTCTACTACTACTACTACTACTACTACTACATCTTATGCTGTATTTTATGCCCTGCTGTGCCTCCAGGTCAGCATGAACACATCCCACCATTCTATCTGCCATGTCATCCTTTTCCTAGCTCCCCTCCAGCCTTTGCCTTTTATGGGGCAAAGTCTGCTTCCAAAGTAAGGGTGCATTCACTTCAACTTGCAATGCAGCAGAGAGATAGTTGAGTTAGTTGAGCTTCCCTGCCCTGCTAGGCTGCAGCAATCTAAGAAGCAGGGTAAATTCAGTCTGTTTAGAGTTAGTCTGAGACTCTAGCACTGCTGGACCAGTTCCTTTCCAACTGCTCACCCACAATTTAGTTTCTCCAACTGCTTAATCCCAAAGACCATCAAGCACTATCTAGTGGACCTATGTGTAAATCAACAACAAGCAATACATTCGGTACTGTCGATGACATGGTATTTTTGTATGGAATATAGACTGCAGACCCTGTAACATGGTATCATGTTCATTAAGCACAGCATTCAGAAGTAACATTGAGAAAGAGAAAGAATAGCTGAAACATCATGCAGACTTAATTTGTTTCAGGCTCCTAAGTAATCTAAGCAACAGTAATATTTACACTGGTCAATTATCTGTCCTGTTAGGTATAAAATGCTCCAAAACTCTTGCACTGGACTCCTGATAACCCAAACGCACAGAGAAATTAAATAGGGGTTGTCCTTATAAAACTGGGTTAGGCTTTCTGCCAGTTGATTCACAAGCATTGTTTGAAAAATTAAAACAACACATAATTGCACTAGCTCTCTAAATCTGACCAGGGCTCAGAAGATAAATGCCTTACCTCATTACGTTTAAATGCTCTATCTCAGTCTGGTTTAAAACAGAGCGGAGGCTATGAGCTGCCAATCTGATGTACTGTTAAGAGAACAGAAATACTGCTACAGACCAGGATGTGGGCTCCAGCAAAGAGCCACGCTCAGTATTTGGTTTTCCTTTACTGTCCCCTGCTCCTCAGCTCACTTGCTTCCAAAGATCGTCACTTCACCCAATATGACTATGTAAGCCTCAACTGAAATGGTCCCTAGTCTCAACAGAGAGTGTTTTTGC